CCTTTAATTTCTACCTCTTACGTTGGTTTTCTTTAACAGAACAAGTGAACTGGGACAAAGTCCTCAAAGTACTCCTGATGATAATTGGTTTGTCTTCATAATAGCCTAACAAATCCCAGCTGTAGTGGTGCATGTTTGTAATGCCAGCACTTGGGAGGCTGAGGCAGAAGGATCACCAGGAGTTTGAAGCCAGTCTAAACTACATAGTGAGATCCTGTCTCAAAAAAAAAAAGTGATAAATAGTTTAACAAATCTAGATTTTCTGTATTACTGTGTCCTCATTCTTGACTAAAACCAGTAGTGAAAAATTAAAACAAACAAAAGCAATAGTGGCAAACACACACACACAAATTGTGGATGCACATGCATATGGATGCCAAATAGCCAAAGATGTAGACAGTGCCCATTATTGTTTCTCAGCTCCAAACCAGCTAGCCTATACTTAGGCTTGAGATGGTGGAGCTGGTTCTTGCTCTGAGCTTCTAAGTTGTAATAATTCCAACCCCCTTTGTTCCTTAGGTCCAGGGATTTGTAGTTGCTTCCTGAAATTGCTCTAGTTAGTAACTTTTCATTGGGTTAACAATTCTTTATATTAAATTCATTCTGTTTAAGTAACTGGGATAGCCAGGCATGGTAGCACATGCCTGTAATCCCAGCACTTGGGAGGCAGAGTTAGGAGGATTGACGTGAGTTTGAGGCCAGCCTGAGTGAGTTCCGTAGTGAGTTCAAAGCCAGCCTGAACTACATAGCAAGACCTTGTCTCAAAAAAAAAGAGAAAAAAGAAAAAGAGGGGGCCGGGGATTTAGCTCAGTGATTTCGCTGCCTGCTGCACAGGCACAAGGACCGAAGTTCAATCCCTGGTACCAAAAAAAAGAAAGAAAAAAAAGAACAAAGAAAGAAAAATAACTGGGATAGTTTCCAAGTTTCTCTCTCCTAATTGGCCTCTGACTTACACACACCCCAGTAATGGCCAGCTGATTCCAGGCCAAATAGCCAGGTGATCTGCTCTCCAAGTTACTGAAGATGACAATTTCACCACATATTTTGTTATAGCATAAGAATTCTCTAGCCATTCCACCTGCTATATGTTTCCTGAGCCATTAATTCAGTGCCAGATATTTTTGTTTTGGTTATATTAGCTCCATATTCCTGATACCAATTTAAAAATTTTTTATTAGTATCTATTTACAGTACATAATGATTACATTCATTGTGGGGAATTGGTACATGTACATAACACATCTCAATTTTTTCCCCTTCTACCCCGTTCTTAATACCAATTTTTGCATTAAAAAGGTCAGCTAATGAGGATAGTAACAACCTCCCAAACTTGGTGGCTTATACCATAAAATTTTATTTCTTGATTACATCAGAATTCAGTAATCAGGTGACCCAGGTGTGGAAGCACATGCCTGTAATCCCAACACTCAGGAGGTTGAGGTAGGAAGATTGCCACAAATTTGAGGTCAGCCTAGACTATATAGTGAGTTCAAGGCCAGCCTGAACTGCATAGTGAGACTCTGTCTCAAAAAAAAAAGTTGGGCCAAGGATTTAGCTCAGTGGTGCTGCTGCCCTGCAAGCACAAGGACCCAAGTTTGATCCCCGATACCAAAAAAAAGGGAGGGGGCCGGGGATTTAGCTCAGTGGTTCTGGTGCCTTCCTCACAAGCGCAAGGTCCCGAGTTCGATCCCTGATACCAAAAAAAAGGGAGGGGGCCGGGGATTTAGCTCAGTGGTTCTGGTGCCTTCCTCACAAGCGCAAGGTCCCGAGTTCGATCCCTGATACCAAAAAAAAGGGAGGGGGCCGGGGATTTAGCTCAGTGGTTTTGCCGCCTGCTGCGAAAGTACAAGGACCCGAGTTTGAACCCCAGTACCAAAATATATATATATAGAAGGGAGCTCTGTGCTCTCTTTGATTATACAGGGGCCCAGGTTCCTTCCATCTTGTGGCTCTACCGTCTAAGTTTCAGAATGTCCTCTATTCTGCTGGTGGAAGGGAAGGGAAGTACGGATCAGCACCTGGGAGATTTTGCCATGCTGAGAATTGAACTGAGGACTTTTGCACTGAGTTACAATCCCAGTTCTTTTTCTTTTCTCTCTCTTTCTTTCTTTCTTTCTTTCCTTCCTTCCTTCCTTCCTTC